TTTTTTTTTATTTTAAATTATTATCTTATTTTTTTAAAAACATTACTATATTTATATATTATCATATAAATTATACTATTTTTTATAAACTTATTTTTCTATTATTTTCTTTATTTAATATAAATATATTTTTTTATATATATATAATAGTGTCGCTATGGGCTATAGCGACACAGTGGCGCTATAGCCCATAGCGACACCAACTGTATTTTACGTTTTAATATTTTAAATTATGTAGTATATTTTTTTTGTAATTTTTTTATTTTTACATTATCATATAAATTTTAATAACTATTTTATAAATTTTATTTTTAAATAAATTATATTTTTTGGATTTTAGTTTTTTTTAAATTTCGAATATGAGTCGCTGTGGGCTACAACGACTTCATTGTAGCTACTGGTGTCGCTATAGGCTGGACGAACTTCCTCAATATGGCTCTCATGGCTTCTCTAGAGTTTAAAAAATGCCACGTGGCAGTGGTGTCGCTATGACCCATAGCAACACCGTTGTAAACAGCCCTAAAGGCGTAAATAATTTCTAAACAACCCTATTTACGTAAATAACTTTCCATACAGCCCTACTTTGGTCAAAAAGCCTACTTTTTGTTTTCTTTTCTGAAATGTTGTTCTAATCTTGCACTTCCGCCTTCAGGTCACAACATGTTCCTACGATCACCGATTCGAAAGGAAAAAATACATTTATCTTAAGTGTGATATACTAGTTCCTAGAGATCAAACTATAATGATATAATTATCATTAATTATTATATTATTTAATAATTTTTAATTAGACATTTTTTTAAAATCTATGATTAGATTGAAAGTATCTTTCTTTCGTATGAATTATATTTGCAATATTTATATTTATTAAAAATTATTTGATACTTTAGCAGATTGTCATATATTTAACACAATATGTATTTTAATGTGAATCATTTAATTATTTTCTTATTATTATTCATTTTTTTAAAATAAAACTTGTCACAAATAGTTAAGATAATATATAATTATAATTTATTGATTGGATCAATAAAAGTCACATTTTATATAACACACATTCTTGTTGGATAATGCATCCAGGGAAGAACTTGGAATTCGTGAGTCCCCAAAAATTATTGAACAAGGAAATCCAAAGTTTAGATGGATATTTTAAGTCTAATATTAAGTATTCGTTTAATTTAACTTATTTATAAGTAAAATAATTGCCTTTTTTTAAAAAAAAAAATCATGACTAAAAAAACTGAAAGAAAAAAAAATCCTTTAGATTGAGTTGGTCTAAACAAAGTAAATATAGACATGAAGGCTTCGGGTTCTTTTCTCACCCCTTCGTAATTTTAAAGGGAATCCCAAGCCAACTCATAGAGAGCCACATAAAATCAATCGGGAAGCCCATACCAAAGAGCCAAGCCCATTCGTCAGATAATTGGTTGGGCCAAAGGCTTGAGCAGTACTCATTAAACAACTTATACTAGTCACTTAAAGATGACTTCATGGAGACTAAAGAAATAAATATAAATTGTTTTATATTTTAGTGCAAAAGGTTTTTAGTTTTCTTATTATATATTTTATAAATTCAACAGCAAAGGATTATTCTAATTATTATCTTTTATCTTATATTATTTCCGTTAAATATAATTGTTTTATCAATTAAAAATGTTAACGTCAAATTTAATATAATAACATATGATTGAAATAATGTAAAAAATAACATAATATTTGAGTGAAACAAGTTTATCTCTGTATAAAAAAATTGAGAATTATATTTTTAGAACAAAATGAGTTTATACAGCTTTTTTATTACATAACAATGTGTCAATATTTCTTTCAGACTTTTATTATATCAATTTTTTTCTTTCTTGATAACATATTTAATCAATATTAATTTTACTTATTTTTTATTAACATTTTTTTCTAGACCACAAATATCTTTATCAAAAAGGATTTTGTTTGAGTTGGATAAAATCACTATAAGTGACAAGTTCTCATTTCAAATATTTAATTCAACTGCATACCTAGAATTTTCTTCGATTGATATTAAATATAATCAATTTTTTTGTTTAATAATATAAATTGAAATGCTCAAAACACATATTAATTGTATGTATCTTTAAAAAAAAAACTAAATTGGTGGTAAATAAAAATGGTTAAAAGACTAAATTAATAATAAAGTGAATTGAAGAGTATTAACTGTACATTATCTAACATTTTCTCTATTATTAATTAAATTTTGTTAAGAATTATAAGATCACGAATGTGGATTTTTAAACATGAAATGAGAGTGATAATATAATATGTTTAAAGTAATGCGTTCAAAAAAATAAGTTGCTAATATAATTTTTCAAAATGTCCTCGATTTACATCATATACATCCTTAGGAAGGATTAAATTAGTAGTAAATGGAAAATTTACGATATTAATTTAATTATAAATGATAATTTTGAGATATAAATTCAATAAAAAAAATAATTAAAATAGTGGATGATTTTAGAAAAATAATTTAATGAATATTTTTCGAAAAGAATAACGTGATCACATGTGTAAATTTAAAAGCTTGAGAATTTGTTCTCTTTTAGGTTTTGACTCCATGATTATTTGTCGTGAAAGAAAGTTACAATGGAGACCGGAAAGCTCGACCCACAGAATTTGACCTTCGACAACAAATTACATGGGCAATGCAATATGGTGCCAACAGAAAACGTTGAAAATTGAAATTTAGTAGTTCAAGGATCAAAACCACTTAAATAAAGTTTTGTACTTACTGAATAGAATTATATTTCGAATTTGCAAATTTTATAATTCAAATATTTGTTTTTGGTTATTTAAATATCTTATTAGATAAAATTTATTAATGTGAATTTAATTTTATTGATTGTAGATCTTTTTTATGTAATTAATTTAATATAAGCGTTGGTAAAAATAAAATAAAATAATAGAACATTTTTTAATTTAATAATGAATAATGAATTACCGCTTGAATGATTGAGTGATTTACCGCACACGTATCTGAAAAATACCATGTGCTGCTCAGCTTCCCTTTTCGTTTCTTCCGATGCTTCGCAATTCTTATATAGGGAAGTTCAAAAGTTTATTCAAATCCAAAGAATAAATTGTAATTTTTTTAAAATTAATAAAAATACTCATGCCTTATTTAATAGTAATGTCTTTATGTATATAACTCTAGAAACTCTTTCAATTAATTCATGAATAGAAAATATAATTTATATGATAAAAATACTCATTTATTCATTATGAATTTTTACTATAACATAATTTACATATTAAAAATATTTTTATTATATATTTTAATTATATATAAAATAAAAATATATCTTGTACAATACATAAACTAAAATATTATTATAAATTATACATTAAAAATATTTATTTATAACGAATTATAACTACATAATATGAACGTTTATCATATACATTCTACAAATTAAATTATTAATTATAAATATTAATTTATTCTAAATTTAAGACTTAAATATATTTTTAATTTATTAAATTTAGGATAAATTTATTTTTATTTCTCAAATTTAAAATTATTCTTTTTAATCCCTATAATTTTAATAATTATTATCTTAGTTCTTCAAATCACTAATAATATTTTTAAAAATAATATATTATTAAAAAATTATATATCATTATTTGATTTTGATATGATATTTTTACTGATTGAATTATCAATAGATAAATTTTATATGATAGTATTTGATATATATATTTTTTTATTTTTTAATTATAAAAAATAAAAAAAAGTAATTTAAAAATTGAAAGACTAACAAATATATTTAAATTTAAATTTAAATATAATATTTTTAAATTATTAAAAAGGAGGAGTTAAGCATGTAGGTGATAATAACTAGAATCGTAGATTTGCGAGTTATTGTTAGGAAACGGAATTGGCAAGAGCTATCAACGAAAGTACAAACAAAACATGCAGGGAAAGAAAGGGACACAGGGGACGAGGAATGAAAGTCAAGAATAAATAGGATAAACATTTCTTAATACAACATCTGTTTGTTTCTACGCTTTATTCATCACAATATAATTTTTTAACAAATAAACATGAGACAATAATCACAAAAATGGGATTAAAAGAGAGATTGTTTTAAATTCGTAAATTTTATTGTGAGAATATTGGATTATGATATTTTGAGAAATTAGTTTGTTGAATTTTTTTTTTAAGTTTATCTTTGAAGTAAATTGTTAAATCTCTTCTAAATTTTTTATTTATACAACATATAAATAATGTTGAAATATACGTGTATAAAATTAAATTAGAGTAAGGTACAAGGTTGATATTAAATTTTTTAACTAAATATTAAAATGATGTAGTAGTTTGAAAGTAGTCATTGAGTCAGTCTCATAAGTGACTTAGTTATGTTATCGAATGTTGTGACATGACCAAACTGTCCAACCCTAGCAAAAATACTAGACTTCATAGTTTGAGTGGCGACATCTGAGAAATTAAATTGTAAATTTTTATTCAGATTGATTGTTGATATAACTACAATGAGAAAATCAAGTTATTAGTTTGGTAAGATCAAACCACTTAAATTTTTCGCCTATATTGTAGTGAAATTTCTATTTGAAAAACCTGACAATGCATATAGTTGATTTGTTATACATATACAATTTAGTTGTTTAATGATGTTCTACATATGTTATATTGTTGTTTTGATGAGTACAATGTGGTTATGTTATTCAAGTTGAATTGTATGTGGTGCGTGTGATGTATTCATATATTATGTTGTTCAAGTGCTACATGACTCGTTGATGAATTGTCTTGTTGTGTTTAAAGTTAAAGATGTTGAAATGTGAGACCAAAATGTGTATAACACAAGTTATATACCATGAAGTTGATTATTTGTTGATTCTTTTAAATTTTAATTCATCATTGTATGTTTTCATGTGATTGAGTTGCGATGATCATATTTGATATGAAAGTATAACAATAATAGGTACGAGGAGGAATACTCTAGAGGCCATACTTGTGAATGATAGTGTAAATATTCTTTTGTGATACTCTCGTGTGACTGGTTTATAAATGTTGCTTAATTGACAACTAATGTTTTTCTTTTATATTGCATTTCGTGATTATTGTATAGATATATATGTTTGTTATATGGTTCAAAAGTTGATAAACTTTTATTTCTCTTTCTCTCTCACTCTATCAATATATATATATTATATATATATATATATATATATATATTATATTATATTATGACATGCATATCTAGGTATTGTAAGTATATGAATCATATGTAATTTTGTGTTTATTTTCTTCGTTGCTAGTAATTGAATCATGTAATAATTTGATGGATCATTACAAATTTCAAAATTTTAATAAATTATAAAAAATAAAACATAACATTATAGCATAATATTTTTTTTCTTTACAAAAAAACCATGCTACAAATATTATGTTTAATTATTCATAATTTGTTAAAAAATAAAAATAAAAATTTAAAATAAAATTATATCGAAAGTGATAAACCATTAATATAATTAATTAAAAAAAGATAAAAATTTAAAATAATAAACTTTAAGCCAATTATTATATAAAATTAAATATACTTTAATAAATAAATTAATTCCTCAATGTATATAATTCCTTAAAGCACCTTTATTTCATAAAAATATTTTTATTTAAGAATAATTTCTAAATAATATTACTACTCAATTGTGGAGACTCATATTTATTACAAAGGTGTAGGTAAATTTAAATAATCGTAAATTTTAACCTATTTTAAAATAGTTAATTAGTTATCATAAAATGGAACAAAAAGTCCTTGCATGCCAAAAGAAAGGCCCTTCATGCAACAGTGGGGGTAATTAAGACGGAAATTAATTTTACAAAAGGTCATCACCTCTCAACCTTTTCTTCCTAAGATACAGACAAATGCACACAAAGAACTAAAAACAAATCACTCATATCATTTTTATCAACTAATATCATAGAATATCAACTAATACTAAGGTTCGAATTCTATCTTATATATACAATCGCGTTAAATTTTAGGGTCAGTTATTTTATCTTTTAAAGTACTTTTGACGTAGCAAGAAGATTAGTCATTACTATCCGCGATCGATCCACGAACTAAAAAAAAAGTTTATCTGTTCTGCACTACTCCTCTTTCTCATGAAATATAAAATTAGCAAAACTTTCCAAAAGTTATAACTATCGGTATTACGTTACCCAGTAGCTTAGTAGGTGAATAAATACCGAGTCATATACTCATAATATTCATATTCCTTTTTATTTTTTTTTACACAATTGTCAAATTACTTATTTTACAAGTCACTTCTTTTAATGAAGCAGTACGAAGTATAGGGAAAAAAAAGAAGAAAAATTATATGGAAAAGAAAACGTGGTTAATATTAATTTAATAAAGCAGGGTGAAGGGAAGCAATATAAGAGGCACAACACAAGCATATTCTTGTAACCTTGTTGAAAAGAGCGTTGGGTCACGCCACTGCACATTCAACTTCTTCTTCTTCTTCTTCTTCTTCTTCGCTTTGTGTTCCTCTGTGTTGCGTGTAAGAGAAGCAGGTTTCGTTTCGAAGCAAAAATGCATTCCAATCATTTGCTTATCGAGGAACCTATTCGTATGATTTCCATCCTCGAGCCATCCAAGGCCGTGAGTCTCTTCTTCATATTCTTCTTCTTATTCTTCATTTTTTTTTCTCTTTATTTTTAGATATATTTATATTTTGCATTTTCAGAGTTTTTTTCCCGCAATGACGAAGATCGTCGGTACCCTGGGTCCTAAATCTCGATCGGTCGAGGTTATTTCTGCTTGCCTCAAAGCTGGAATGTCTGGTATACGTCTCTTCCTTTCGCATCGTTGTTATTTCTCTCTCATTTTTCAAATTCTTCACCGTTTAATACACGCTTATTTGATGTGAGATTGTTTACATGTTCTATTGTAGTGGCTCGTTTCGACTTCTCTTGGTGTAACCCTGAATATCACCAAGAGACTTTGAACAATTTGAAGGATGCTGTCAAGACTACTAAGAAGCTCTGTGCTGTGAGTTATTTATTTATTTATTTTGATTTAGTGTCTCTCGGTACAGACATTCTCTAAAAATCGATTGCTTAGGTTAGAAGTTAGAAATGAAACCCTTGTGTTTTACTTGTTTGCTGTCCATTTCGTTAGGATTAAGGTTTTGCTGGCTGCGCAGGTCCCGCCAATTTATGCATGCATGCATTGTTGTTAAGGTTGCTTGTGGAATTTGTTTATGTAATGGGAAAGGAGCTGACTAGTTTAGTGTTGGTTACTCTATTGTTGCCTTTGCCAGGTTATGATGGATACGGTGGGTGCAGAGATGCAGGTTGTTAACAAAAGTGAGACATCGATCTCGCTTGAGGCTGATGGTCAGGTTGTTCTGACTCCTGACCGGGGACAAGAAGCTTCTTCAGAGATACTGCCTGTCAATTTTGATGGATTGGCAAAGGTGCATTGAAGCTTTCAGCCTTCTCATGATATCATGTGTTTGACTAAATTTTCATGTACAGTTTTTTTAGGAATATTAACCTGAGTGGTTTCTTTTAGTTAATTTACTCTTTGTTGCTTGGATTGGAGTTAATTGCACCTTCTAGCCGTTGCTTAGCACAAACTAGCTGTAAATTTCAGCTATCTATTTGATTTTGCTCTTGCTTATGGTGTTACAAGTAGTAAATTGCATTTGCATGATTCCTTAGAGGCCGTTTGCTTGCATTGTAATTTGTTGCTCACTATATTAATTAATACAATTCATGTACTATGTAGATTCATTTTGTTTTCTCCTATGTAATGTTTTGAGTTGGTTTGAACCTTAATCTTGTTTGGATTGTTTGCAGTCAATGAAGGAGGGAGACACCATTTTTATTGGTCAATACTTGTTCACAGGAAGTGAAACTACTTCTGTATGGCTAGAGGTAATATAAGTTGGGCATTGAAGGCAGAATTTATTCGAATAAGCCTCTTTTCATTTTGTTGTCGTCTTGACCTTCAGTTTTTTTTTTAATCTGTATTAACCATTTGATTGGGTCTATATTCTGATTTCATGTAATTGGTGTTAAAATTTTGTTGATATTTTCAAAATATATACTAATGGCATAGACTGAGGTAAATAGGAATAGTTGAAGTTCTACATGCATGATGAATTATACTTTAAATGAAACCGTGTAGGTGTCTGAAGTTACAGGGGATGATGTCATTTGTACCATAAAGAATTCGGCAACATTGGCTGGGTCATTGTTCACTTTGCATGCCTCTCAAGTTCATATTGACTTGCCTACTCTCACTGATAAAGACAAGGAGGTGATTTCTACTTTTTTTTTACTTGCATGTTTTAGTGAGTTACCTATCATCAAACAAGTATAGTTCGCATGTGGCTAAATATTGGTTTCTTTAAAGTTTTTGGCTGTTATTTTTCCTTGCAGGTTATAAGCACCTGGGGAGTAAAAAACAAGATTGATTTTCTATCATTGTCATATACTAGGCATGCTGAAGATGTCCGCCAGGTAATGTGTTCCGCATTCAATACTTTGGTTTAGTCTTTTAGAGTTCATAATTGGTCATTTAATTTATTTTTCTATAGCTGTTTCAGATTTTCTATTAAAGGTCTTTTCTGTATTTGAAATGCAGGCCCGTGAATTCCTTTCTAAGTTGGGTGATCTAAGGGAAACTCAAATATTTGCAAAGATTGAAAATGTTGAGGTGACCTTCATTTTTTCATAATTTATCAGACAACCTAGTTTCTCTGTAAATTAGATCCCTATTAGCTATTCTGATTCAATTACATATGTACATATGTGTTGTTTTCTAGGGATTGACCCATTTTGATGAAATTCTACAAGAAGCAGATGGTATTATCCTTTCCCGTGGGAATTTGGGCATTGATCTTCCCCCAGAGAAGGTTAGATTCTTTGTTGCAATTAATCTTATTATAGATTAAAATGCTCTACTTTTGACATTTTGATAATGTATTTAATATTTTTAAATATAAAGATTTGTATTCATAAAGAATTGAAATAAGTGAATATGCCTCAACATGCTTAAAGGAAGAGTCAATATTGGACAAAATAACCCCAACTCCATTCCTTGTTCTTGATCTTTTTTGAAATGATTTTGATATAAATGCTTGACTCATTTTTTCTTGCCAAGATCATTTGTTCATCACTTTTGGGTTGGTCAGTCAAACAAAGTTTTAGCTAGTTGATGGATATCCTAATTCCTAAGTGCTTGGAGTCTTTTATATGATATTTGAGTATCAAATGTATAATTTTTACCGAGTACCTTTTTACTAATAACTTACCTAGGATAGTTTTGAAACAACAATTTACATAGTTTTTATAAATGTTCCAAATGTCTGTGTTTGAACCATAATCATATATATGACAGATACTGTGAGTCTTCATTTGTTTATAAGTGGTTAATGCACTAATAGTCATTGAGTCAGTGGGGGTTTGCTGTTAAAATAAAAAACTAGAGCAAAGAAAGAAATGGGGCTTTTGGAGAGTGACGCTACATAACTTTTGGAGTAGAATATGGTGTTTGGTTGTTTGATCTGAGTTAGTGTAATGAACTGATACTTAATTTCACTGCCCTATGTCAATTATATGATCACATCTGTCTCCATGAAGTGAATACCTAATGGTTCCAAGACTGACTGTTGCAGAGATGTTAATAAACTGCCATCCACTTTTTGTAGGTATTTTTCTTTCAAAAATCTGCCCTCTACAAGTGTAATATGGCTGGGAAACCTGCTGTGCTTACACGCGTTGTGGATACAATGACTAACAACTTAAGACCAACTCGTGCAGAAGCCACTGATGTTGCCAATGCTGTTTTAGATGGTAAGTCACTGGTCATATGATGCCAATAGTTAGGTTGGTAACCACTAGGCTGTCCAAGAAATATTTTTCTTTTAAAATTTAGATTTAGGTACCTTAAAATTTTCATATTAGAATCAAGCCATCACCAATTCTCTTTAATCCTTGTAACTTACAATTTTTAGTAGATATTGGGGGTTCGACGGTCTAGAATATTATACATTTATGAAGCTGGTAACTTAGCTGCCATTGTAATATTCTAGATGTTGTAAAATAGTGGAATTCCACAAATTATAAGACTTAGAAATTTGAGCATTGCTCCAGTACAATATTGTGCTTGTGTGAGAAGGGAATGTAAGTGAGTTGAGAAATTGAAAGTGTCGTGTTTATGATGTGCAGCACAAAGAAAAGTGTGATGGGGCAAGCTGGGATAGGAGAGTGTGTATGTGAAAGTGAGAGAGGATGTTAGAAAATAGAAAGTAGTGAAAGTAAGAAAGTAAAATTGAATGTGACAAAAATGTATTGTGAGCCTCACCATTGTAGACTGTATGCAGAACTAGTATTTTAGTCCGTGCATTGCAGTTACCCATGTTAAATATTTACTATATATAACTAAAAATTATAATAAATTATATATTAAAATAAATACTATATTTGAATTTATAAATTATATTTAAAATTTGTATGAATGGATATTATTAAACCATATAAGTTATATTTTATTTTTATGATAAATAATTTATATCGCGATAGATGATTATTTTTAATTATTGGTAATTTATTTTAAAAATATTGAAATTTAATTTATGAGTAAATAGGATAAATAAAAATTGAAATAGATAAGAAGTTATAAAAATCTCTAAAAATCATGTCATTGAAGAAAAATCCCTTTAACCCCCTAAAAATGCTATTGTATTTAATGTATAGAGGTGAAGTGATTTATAAATGAGTAAAACAGGAGTTTTTTTTTCCCCCTCTCTCTACATTTCACTTATGTCATTTATCTTAACATTAGTGCCTATCTATGTGCTTGGGCCATGAAGTTGTCTATTGAGCCATCAACATTTGTTTGCATGCTAACTTGTAACCTTCTGTAGGTAACCTATAAAAGACAGGAAATATTGCTATCTTCTTTTTCAGAATTAGGCCTGTTTCAATCATTTAGTTTTTCTTCCATTGGTGCCCTTATATTTACTGTGCTTGTTGCTGTGCTCTTGATAATTGTTTGCATGTTACCCAGCAATCTTCATTAGGTTATTGATAAAGATAATCAATTAATATTGCTCTGTTTTTTCCCCCTCATTTTGACACTTCATAATAATTTTGTTTTTCTTTTAGTGTTTGTTCCACATGGTTTTGTTAGAATCATTTAATGTATATTTGTTGAACTGTTATTAATAAATATACAGGAAGTGATGCAATACTTCTAGGTGCTGAGACTTTACGTGGGTTATACCCTGTGGAGACTATTTCTACAGTTGGCAAAATTTGTGCAGAAGTAAGTGCACTTCATTGCTCTTTAAATTCATTTGATATTTAAAATTTGTTCCAATATGTTGATTTTTGATTTTATGGAACATTTTGGATCAAATTTTCTGTGAATTATTATGAGCTCTGTGCCTGAATAATTTGTAATCGGTATTTTGTAGTGTTGTGGTTTGACAACTTCAATCATGTAAACACTTCTAATTTTGCAATTGTTTGATTGGGGAAATCCGTTTGCTCCATATAGTTTTTGTTTAAGACATTCAAACAGATTTACTGATCTGCTGTATTTTGACTTATCATTGGTATTACCAAATATCTCTGTACTGTTTTACTAAGATATGCTCTTTATTGGAAAAACCACAAGAGATGGATCATGAAAGGTAGTTTAATATTTTATGTTTGTGTACATGCCACTAATATGATTATTAATCCCAGACTATATTGGGAACACTAACACACATCAAACCTAACTTGATATCAGTATTTAAATTGTCAGGAGGGACTATTATATTGGTTTAAAAATTTAATACATTGATGAACCTTAGCCAAAGGATCCTGTGTTGTAAAGACGATGTGGTCTGTGCATTTTTTTTCTATAATGCTTTTGGTCTTTCTGGTTGTGCGATAATTACTCTAGTCTCTGTAGTAAGCTAATCCTCTCGCTTACTGGAACTGGGATTTATTGTTTTTATTACATATTTGACAATGTATTGCATGCATGTTTTACTGAAGATACTATTATATAAAATTTTACTTTCTGACAACCAGATGAAGATACTATAGTCTAAATGACCTAAGTTCATTAGCCAGATGATTCATTTGTTTATTTTTCCTAATGCATCCATTTGTCACGAAAAACACGCAAGGTGAGACTTTAAAATCTGTGAATGTTCTTGATAAGTGCATTGGTTGCATGTAGTGTTAAAATCTGTTCATTTGGGTGAATTGTTTGACGCACTTGGATGAATTGTATGATGTATTTGGATAAAATCTTCTATGAGAGTATGAACCTATGTTATGCTCACCTCTTCTCTTTATCCGAATATCAATTTCTTTCTGGCATCTTTGCTCTTTCTTTCTAGCATTTCTTTCTGATTTGTGTTCTATTTAGTTCTGGAGTTTCATGAAGATACCATGTTCATTTAGATAAAATTTTCTAAGAAATTCTGGAAACTATGTTGTTCTCACTTCTGTTCTTTTTTTGAATATCTATTTCTTCCTAGCATTTTTGCTCATTCTATCTTATGTTGGTTTCAAAGAATACCACTGGATAATAGTGTGGCATTAGTTACGTGAATTCTTTGTTGGGAGAGTTCCTTTGACTCATGAAATGATCTCCTTTTTGAAATACTGGAAATGCTGGCTGTGATCTCCACCTTCTATTTCAGGCAGAGAAAGTTTTCAATCAAGACCTTTATTTTAAGAGAACTGTTAAATATGTTGGAGAACCCATGACCCACTTGGAATCTATTGCATCCTCAGCGGTAATTACATTCAACCTTTTCCCTTGTTTATTTTATTGTGGTTTCTAGTGCATGAAATGGTGAAACATAGTGCAACAATAAGGTTACTGTCTTGTAACATGTTGGTCATGGGTTTTGGTTGCAATATCAGCAACTGCTCATGGAGTAAGGCTGAATGCATCTGACCCTCCCAGATCCCACATTAGAGGTAGCCTTGTGCTGTAGGGCAGTTTTTAGTGCTTGCCTATCTATCTTAGAAAAGTACTTTTTGTTAATTGATTTTACTTGTCTTGGTGGTTGGTTTTATTTCATCTTTGAAAGGCTGCTGCTTATATGCAAATCCTGCTTGTTTAGGTGCGAGCAGCTATTAAGGTGAAAGCTTCTGTTATTATTTGCTTCACTTCATCTGGAAGGGCTGCAAGGTACTGTCTCAACCAATAATTGTATATGAATATGTTCATCTTTAGCATCTTGGATAAATTTGGATTTAATCCTAAACAATTATTGTTATGGATTAATTAATGTCCGAATCAATTTTTCTTCCCCGCATTTCCGCTTGTGTCTGTAAGACTTTTTTAAAGCGTCTCATGCACTTTTCAGATTGATAGCAAAGTATAGGCCAACGATGCCGGTTATCTCTGTTGTGATCCCCCATCTCATGACAAATCAGCTGAAATGGAGCTTTAGTGGAGCTTTTGTGGTTAGATATTAACTTCTTGTCTTATTTGCATCTTATTTTCTATTTGGTGTCCTTGGATGTGACTGACACCCCCTTGTCCTGTTGACAGTTTGGGTTCTATTATTGGTATGATTTTAGATATAACTTTGTTAAAAACTAAATTGCCTGATTTTAAGGATATGATTTGATAATGGAATTTCTGATGGTCATTAGATTCTCCTATTTAATTGCTTAATTTAAATTTTGAAGGACTTATGACAATCGAGTTAGGACATATCATTGTAAGTAAAAAAATCACTATTACACCAATAATTAGTGAATAACACTTTGTAGTATGGTTAATGAATAACTTTCTGTTAAATGAATTTCTAACCAATTCTTATGTTGAGGTAGTATAAAATCATTTTAAACTTCTGAATTTATACGTGCAAGGGCTGCATAAAATCAATTATTCTATAATTAACACATTGGTACAAATCGTTTTCTTTAAGAAACTATTGAGTGATGTTAGGTTCTCAAAAGATGTATCAGCATTAGTTGACCCCACCTCCTAGATACATATTCTTGTAGTTTCTAAATAAATTGTAGTTTCTAACTAAATCGAGTTTTGGGCTTTGCATTGCTGAGAACATTTTATTCTTGTCCGTTTCCAGGACCAACTGCCAACTCATTTGTGGGAAAGCCTATTTACAGTTAATGTAATTAATATACTACTCTCTACTATATATATTTGTATCGGTTCTATTTTACTATCTTATTTTACTGCCAACTATTCTCTGCTATAACTTTTTTATCTACTAGACATTATTTTACATAACAATTATATTACTGTCTAATTATCCTGTTTAGTTTTCTCAGCTGTAATTAATTGTATCCTGTGTAAAGGAAATACATCCATGAATCGTATTGAGCTTTGGAAGATGATGCTGTACTGGCCTGGATTTGGACTCACTTGTTCCGATAATGATTAAAAACTTGTATTTACCATAAATTTTACTGTATTTGGTGGATCATTGGTTTACCAACTTAGAATTCAATTTTTTGACAGGCTAGGCAATCACTTATCGTAAGAGGCCTCTTTCCCATGCTCGCTGATCCCCGACATCCAGTAAGTTATTGTTTCATGAGTTCATCTGCATTATTATTATGGAATTGTTCTTTTGGGAGAAGGTGCTGAGAGTTGAATTTAGATCAATCTATATAAAGTAGCTGAATATAGGATTTGGATACTGTTTATCTGTTCAGCTTCAATGCATCGGCTCATGAGCTCTTGTAGTTCCTCTAGGTAGATCTAGACACATGACAAGTTTGATATATTTCTGTAATAATAGTCATCTTCATGGCTACGGTGTTAAACCATAAGCTTTATTCTGCATGATTTGTATACACGCTGCTTTACAATGACCCCATGACTTAGTGATTGGAGACTTGCTAGACATTGATCTCATTCTCTGCCTGCAGGCCGAGTCAACAAGTGCCACAACTGAGTCTATTCTAAAGGTTGCCCTTGATCATGGAAAAGCATCAGGAGTTATAAAGTCACGGGATCGAGTAGTTGTTTGCCAGAAACTTGGTGATGCATCTGTGGTTAAGATTATCGAGCTTGAAGATTAAATGCATTGGTCTAACTACAATTTAGGCTTTTCTTTTTTGATCTACTAGTTTTTGGCAGTAGCAGATCATTCTGCTTTCTTGTTGAGGTTATCACAACCGGGTTTGGTGTCTAGTTATATTTTGTGACTGAGAATGAATTTTAGGCCAATTATTATTACCGGTTGTCACTCAAAAATCAGAGGGAATATTTTGGTTAAAACTTTACACGGACAATTTGAAAGGAATTTTATTCGTTATATGTAGTCAAGCTAATGAGACTAATTGCTTGTGCCCTTGATAGCCAATTGTACGGTGTTATTCTGTATAATCGGTATATTTCTAATTATGATTATGAACAATAGTGTTGTATAGTATGCTGTGGTTTCTTTCGATCGCACACGGACCAAACAATTCGTGATTGACCATATGTTACCCGTTGTTCTTAGTTACCCAAGTTGACTTGTTTTTATCAAAAGACAAAGACAGACTTGCAAAGGTCGTTTATTATCTCGGTTTATCAAAAGCACGAAAACGATGGATACAAGTCGGATTTATCCTACTTCTGCAATCTGCGTTGACTTCCAACGAGAAACAATGCTTGTGATCCAGAAGCATAAATAAATGAAAAGCTTGGTGTTTTTATTCATGCAGCGCAGAACATAAAATTGGTCGTGCTAAAGACGGTGAAAAACTATAAACTAGTTGATCCGGACTATTTTTGCTAAAATCTGACAACGAACCCCTTTGAACTTTTCTTTTAAAAAGAAAGAAATAATAAAAAAATAAACAACAAATCTGTCCTGACTGAATGAGGGTTGAATATCAAGTTGCCAGGATTTAAGATCCTGCCATTATTCGTTATCATTCTTTTATTTTTCTCAGCTTTTATGTGTTGTAGAATTGGGTTTTTCATTCATTGCCTATTGCAGGACTTTGAAGCAGTAGCATAATAGTTACCATTTCTTTGCTCCACATTATATTTGCTGGATATGACTATGATTATCATGTAGCCTCTTTCTGTTGGATCATTTTTAATCTTATAAAATGTGTATTTTTTTTTTTTTTTTTGTATTAAAATATCCCTGAGAATGTAATTTCCAGAAATGCAATATAAGATTTTGAAGCAAACGCTTCTAAATTATGAATTAGTATTTTTAAGATTTAGTGATGAGTTCCGTTTAAAAATAACTGGTCTTTAGCATCAGGGAGGTGGTTAATCTGATTGTGAATTGTGGAGAACATATAGCATTAGGAGCATTAGTTTAAGACTTTAGAACATGATCTGTCATGCAAGGCTAAAATAAGGCTATTTTTTTTTTTTTTGGAATAAATAAAGCTAATTTAATGTTTTCTAGATTGAATATAATTACCTAAATTTATCAAAATAATTTGTGTTTATTTTAAACATGTTCTCTAAAATGGTTAAATAGTTGCCCTGTCCAACAGTTTTAATAAATTGAGATAAATAAAAATATTTTCATGTAGGCAACAACAAGCGCCTGTGGCCTAATGGATAAGGCGCCTGACTTCTAATCAGGCGATTGTGGGTTCGAGTCCCACCGGGCGTGGTTTTGTATTTTGGTTCGCAGTAGCACTATATAGGTAACGCCAAATATAAGGCTATTTGCTACGAATTTCTGTCAGGGTTTTGGTTTTGATTATTTGTCGCATTATACCACCTCCTTAATTACATCCTAAAATGGGATGCACACTCAACATTTTTCCTCTCTAATGGTGCTCATCGCTTTGACCTTTTCTCAAAAATATCAAACTAAATATGCCTGTAGTTCCAGTTCCAGCAACAACGTCAAATACTTAATTTTTACGCTGTCCATGACAATCGGTTGATGATTTGTATTCTACCAAATTGGTAAAATCGCCAATCCTTATATCATACACTGACATTTTATCAAACAACAATATTTAATGATAAAACTTGCTAAATATTTATTTAAAACAAGACAGAAAAACACTGTCTACAATCTAAGTACATACAAGCATACTACATGCATGTTTCAAATTACTTTGAACGATCACCCCAGAAAATGAACAATCATTTCTCTATTTCGACTACCATACATAAAATTTACACAGTTATTAATTTCTTCTGGCCTAGGTAGAAGAATGTTGCTGTTGATGCTGCTGCTGCGGCTGAATATTAAGCAATTCAAGCTCCTTCTGGCGAATTAGCAAAACCATTCTCTCGATCTCCAACCTCCTTCGTTCATTTTGAAGCTTATCTCTCTCCATCTCCCTCTCCTTCTTGCTGCTAAACCTTGCCCACTTCAACCGTTGCTTTTCCAACTCAAACGCCTGCATTTGATAACTCACTTGCTGTTCCTCCAACTGCACCACCCTCTTCTTCATCCACTGCTTCTTCTCCCAACCACTCTTCCCTCCATCTTGCAACACACCACTCACTTCACCACTCAACTGCTGCATCACCTGAGATAACGATGATGATGATGATGATGACACACCGAACCCTACCTTCTTTGCCCTCTTCCTCATCACATCATTCTCATCTCCTGATTCCTCTTCCTCCTCATCGGAATCCTCCTCCGAATCCTCCTCCTCGTCCTCATCCTCGTCCTCTTTCAACATTCTCAGACTCCCTACTCCATTTTCTGATGAATGCAAGCATTGCTGATGCTGATGCTGATGTTGCTGTTGCGGAGTACCATGTGGTTGAGCCTCAGTTGACTGTTGTTGCACGTTCGAAGTGCCACAGTTGTTGTGGCCACAACTGTTGTGGTAAGCACACATTTCCCTGAAGAACAAGTGCTTGGAGTTCAGCAACTTTCTTACTTCTTCCTTCATCTTTGGTGACAGATCCATAGTGTCTAACAAACTTTGATTCTCCACCACCCTACAAGCTGTGCCCTTGCCAAGAATGTCGTTGACCCTCTTGTACCTCTTGTTCAGATCGTTGAACTTGTCTTCACATTGCTGAGGAGACACGTAGTAACCCTTTTCCATCATGCCCCTTGACACTGATTTCCACTTACCTTTCTTTTGAAGCAACCCTGTGGCTTTCTTCTTGGTGGGGTCAGTGCCTTCTGAACCAGCCTCGTCTCCGATGTAATAAACAGCCATTATTAAGAGCCTTACCATGGTGTCAGTCCACTTCATTCTATGCCATGGTGACACCTTCCTCTTGGGGTCCCCAGAGCTGTTATCTTCTGCAGTGAACCCGGGTTCATCTTCATCACTGAGTGTGATTTGTGGCTTGTTGCTCTTTGTTGCTGAATAGTTGTAGCCATGTTTGATTGATTGCTGTGGTTGTTGTTGATGTGGGTCAGTGGCATAGGAAACCATTTGGGGATGGTGCAAAGGGTGAGAGTTTTGCTGGTTTTGAAGGTTTGGTTGTTGTTGCTGTATAGGGTTTTCTACTCCTAGCAAACCACTACTTATGTTGGGAAATATTCCACCACCTAGAGCATTGTGCTCCATCAATTCCTAAAGACTTTCTATATAACAAAATTTCCAATTCCACCACTGAGAAATTAATGTTGGTGGAAATTTAGAATGAGATTCAAAATTCAAAAGGGGTGAAAACTGAAAAGCAATTGACTAGTTAAAAGGTTAAGAAAGAGTGAGATGGAGGTGTAACATGATGACAACCATTCACCTCGTGCATGTTTTTGAAAGAGTTGAGTGGCAGAAGTGAAGTCAATGATGGAGGGGAAAAAGCAAAAGGGCAGAGATGGTATTGTGCGAAGGTTGGTGATGCAGAAGCACGTTAGATTGGTGGCAAATGCGAAGAAAGCAAGAAAAGAATATATAGTATATAGCATCCTAATAGAAAAGGGTGAAGCTAGCAGCTGGTTATGTTAGCGCTGACAGAAACTGCCCATGGTTTTGTTTGTGCTTTGGAAAAATAATCCACAGGTTTTGTGTTGGTCCACGTCCACTTAAACTGTGTTTCAACTAGGACACTAGATTCTTTTTTTTTAAGCGACAACGCATTTTCTATGGAATACAAATCTTGTTCAAGCTATAATCTAGTAATCTACTACCATCCATCTACTCTATTATAACATGGAAAAACAAACACTTTTTTAAATATAAATAAATTTAACTATTTTTTTTCCTCATTTAATAATATTTTTTCTAAAATATTTCTTCTTTGATACAGTTGTATTCCTTCTTCAAGCATTTATAATAAAGATAATTTAGAAAAGATATTATGAAAATAGTAAAATTTAATGTAAATAATTAGTTTTTTAATATGTAAGAAAATAGCTTTTTTTCTTCTCTTATAATATATAGAGAACAAAGAGAATATTATATATTCCTTTTGGATTTAAATATAAGAAAGTAAAAAAATCTCGAATCGTAAATCTAGATATAATTAAATCATATCTAATTTTATTTTATTTAATGATCCTATCTCAAAAAACAAATATCTTTTTATAAAAAAAAAATCTCTAAAATATCTTTCGTTTGATTAAGATTCTATTTATAATAATATTAAGTTTTAATGAAAATAATATAAAATAAAAATAATTTTTAATTAAAATTAATAAATTAAATTATGGAAACAAATCTTCTTAATTAAAATATAAATTAATTCAATTATATATAAGAACATCACTTATTAAACTAGAATAATCTCACGTTATAGGATTCAAACTGCATCACATATTATTCCTAGAAAGAGAAAATGTATTTTAAATTAGTTTAATTCACACCAACAGAGAGCAAAAGTGAAAAAAAATGAAATTGTAAGCAATGAATATGAGTTGAAGAAAAAATATATAATATGATTGTAGTATTTTGTAAACATCGAGGTGTTTTGAAACCACTACTTACTAGATTTATAAGTAAGAAGTTAATTTTATTTATTTTTTTTAACTTTTCTAGTTGGAAAAAAGACTGAAAATATCGTAGATTAATTTTTTTTTCTTATTGATAAGGAAAAGAGACATTTTATGCCTTTCTATTTAAAAAAAATTATAAAAATTATATTGAAAAGAGTTAGTAATCTGAAGAGTAATTTAAGGAGTATTAAAAGGATAAAATTAAAAAAAATTGTATAAAAAAATGTTATAAGTTATAACCTTTGTTATAGTTATAAATTAAAGAAGAATTTCTTAAAAACACTTGCATATATATTCATTTCAATCATTTATATTTAATATTGAGGTGGATTTAGAACAAGCCTTTTATTTAAACGTCGTAATAATTTAGTCATTCATGTAAAAAAAAAAAAAAAAACTTTATCGATGAACTTAATAGTTATCTATTCTAGGTTAATATATATATATTTTTTAATTTTTATAATTTCATTTATTTTATCTTTTATTCTTATTAATTAAAATAAAAATTTTGAGATCCTATGTTTATTTTTTTTAATTTTATAATTTAAGATAGATTTTTCTTGTACTTATAATTTTTTTTTTAATTATTTTCATTTGTTATTAATTTATTTATAATGTTGTCTTTTTTAAAATAGATGAAATTTAGTCCCAATAATTTATCTCGTTGTTATATTTTCAAATTTATATATTTCTTTGAATATTATTTGTTGCTTATTACTTTAATATTGAAATGCAAAACGGCATGTTCATATTTGTTTATAAATCTTTCTTTTATAAATTTTAATTAGAATATTAGAAATAAAAAAATATCTTTAAAGTTCTTATAGATCAACAACTCTTATTTTAATTTTGTTATAATAAACTTGATTTGCTTGTCACAAAAATTTAATATTATTTATTTTTGTATTTTTTATCAAATTTATTTTATTAAATTTATTTTAAAAGATATATCTTAAACTATATGAACTAAGAATAATTAATAAAAATAATTATAAAAAAGTAAAAAAAAATATTTTAAATTATAAAACCTAAGAGATAAAGTAAGGGAAATATAATAATTAAAAAGATATTTTTATCATTTATTGTATCTCCCTTTTCTTGAAGATTGGTGGTCTGATAACGCTGCCGTTACGCACCACGACACGAGCCGCTGGTTTTGTAACCTGTTCTTACTTTATTCCATCCATCATTTTTTATTTACATATCATTATAAATATTCACATCTTTCAACTGCATACAGTCATGTACTGTTTTAAAAAAAATTACCCACTGAACTGGACTTATTATCCCCACATAGAACATATATAATAAGTTTTTTAAATGAGAAATATAGTTAAAAATAAAATCATATTAAATGATCAATCAGATTTTCTTACAGATTAATTAATAAGAAAGTTTCATTTATATAATTAGTACTAATAATATTATTACTTAAAAGATATACTTTAAGAAAATAAGAGAAAATCTGAGAGAGTGAAAACCGGGAACTGAGAGAGTTTTGAAATGGGTTTAGACTCATTTATTTAACTTTTGAGATTATTTTAACATTTTTACGAGAAAATAATCAAAATTAACTTTCACATAAATTAAAGATAAAATCACAATAATAATACAAGTGAGGACGACTTTAACATGTCAATCCGATTTTGTAAATATGATTAGATGAGTTAGAGTTTATTATTAGACTTCGCATTTTTAAAGACATATTCAAGGTTACCATAAATTTTATATAATGAAAAATATTAAGTAAGTACTCAATTAAATTATTCATTCAAATAAATCCAGTATTCATAATGTAACTGTAATTTTATTTAATCAAAAAGTAAGTGAAGAGTTTTATTGATGATTTAGAAAAGAAAAAAAATGTTAAATCAATTGTTTCCTCAGTTTCTTTTTTATTTCTCAATTTAAAAAAAAAAAGAGTATAAAACTACAAATGAATAAAGTACAATTTAAGTGAAAGAGATATATTTATTTTTTCTGAAAAAAACATAAAGAAAAATTAATCAAATTCACGTAAGCACCAAATCTTATTCTAACAATCTAAACATTGGGTATCATGTTAGAGATAAGAGTGAGGCTGTACCATGAGCCTTTAATATGGCTTCACATAACATCTTAAACTTTTGAAAGAGCAAGTTTTTGACAGCTTATACTCAGCTACATCTTTTGACCAGTCTCAATTTCTCATTAACATACATTGTAAAAAAACAAAATGTGTCAAGGGAACGGGTTGGGGAATGAGTATTTTTAAAAGCATAATAAAATGTGTTAATTTAGTATATATTATATAGCTTATGCTATTATTGTACTTAATTTTTTTTAATAAAAAAAATAAAAAGTCCAACTTTTGTCATGGGGATCTAGGTCAATAGGTTTTACATTTTGTTTCCAGGACTTTTATATCCCTCCAACAGTTGATTCTTCTTCTTTCTTTTTTTCTTTTTCCCTCTTGCCTCCTAAAAAGGAAATACAAAATAACAAATACTTTTATTGTTAAGAATTTCTCCACAGAAGCAAGAGAAAACGTAAATTCGAAGAAAATTTGTTTTTTCATACTTACTCCTTCATTCCATTCCATATGTCAGTTGCCAAGTGAAAACAATTTTGTCAATCATTTAATTTACAAATAAGGTAAGGTAGGGAAGGTGATAAACCGTAAGGTATTTCTTAAAAAAAAAATAGACAAAATCACCTCCCAAAGTGTAACCTTGAGCATCATTAGAAGCATATGATCTTCCAATGATACTTGATGAAACATAATAGGGTCTGTGAGTCTACAAGGCAGCAAAATAATAATTAAAAGTTGTTTTAAAAGAGACAAGATAACTCGAATTGCACCCTATATACTTGGATTTGATCCTTACTCCAAAATTCAAATGGGTGCAAAACACCACATTCCATATGCTAAATCAAGAAAGCACAAGGGAGAGTATGGACTAAAGTTCATCCATTATGCAATATAACATAAATTAGGTGGCTTCTAAATTAACCTGAGCTTTTTTTTATCATTCGGAACCTGCACAAAAATATAAAAACAACTTTTATTATTCTCATTAATAATATCAAAAACTTAGTTATAATCAAAATTGCATAACAACAACCAAATCACATAAATTGATCTAATGTAAATTGCATACAATCAAAAACATAGTTATAACCAAAATTGCATATATGTAAATACATGTAGCTTCTTCTTTAATGTAAATTTTAGATGCAGAATTTAGATGATGCGACATAGCCTTAAATAGACACTTAATATTCTCAGCCTGCATCCATGTCATATGATACTTTTTGAATTATTAATGAAATGTCATGCTTTGGTGTATGTCCCCCACCCCTTTTGTAGTCATGGCTTTTGAAGGCATCACTTATAATTCTATTGCTAACATTTTTCTATTAATTACTGATTTAGTTTTTCTATTAATTACTGTTGCAGTCTGGAATAACTGTAATTGAGATAACTTAGCTGCTTATCTAAAATCACATTTAAAAATGTACTCTTTTTTCTTTTTGAGTTAGAAATATTTATTTATACTAAAGTTATATTCTATAAATAAATCTCTTATTTCTTAATGTGATCATGTAAATTACATATCATTACTAAAATATATTAAAATTGTTTATCTAAAGTCATAACATTCTGAAGTGTACTCTTTTTGCTTTTTGAGTTAGAAATATCTATTTATACTAAAATTATATTTTAGAAACAAATTTCTTAATGTGATTTCATAAACTATAGAACATTACTTGTTATTTTTAATAATTTCACAAATTAGACTATTATGATTTTTATTTCACAAATAATGTTATTATAACTTTTATTATGTATGATTTCAAATGTTATGTCTTGTTTATTATTGTTAAATAGTTAATCACTGCTCGAATTCTATTCTAATAATGACTTGATAAGAGATTTGATCGTTAAATCCCAATCATTTAGAAGTCAGATCAATAAAATAAATATGATCAACTAAAAGTTCGCATGATACACTTACCAATATATATTCCCTTCATTTCATTTTGTTTGATGTTTAATGTTTTGATATGAGACTTCTAAAATATAATTAATATATATGTATGATTTTAAAATAAATCATGCAACTTCCTAATATATTTTTAAACATTTTAAATTTTCACAAATAATTAAATAATATATTAATGATGATTAAAAATATTATAAATTTTTAATATCATGTTAATATTGTAAAATGACAATTAAATTAAAACAGAAAGAAAATTACTAAATATCTGACAAAATAGATGGGATAAGTATAATGTTATGACTAAATAAGGTAATTAATTAAATATTACATAAAATCGAATTAATTTTAATGGGCAGTTGAGCAGTGTAGAAGTGTGTGATGATGGAGAAGGAAACATGAAAAAAAGAAAAGAAAAAATTGAAGGTGAGTGAGAGTGAGTGATAGATGTATTTAAAAAGAGTGGTAATTGGGTTATATGAATATTGTAAAATGGTTAATTAGTTAATTAGTTGGGGTTGGTAGTGGTAGGGTAAATAAAAGAAGAATGAGGGCAGGTGAGTAGGGAATATATAGAAAGAGTATGTATATAAAGAGTAAAGAGAATGAGGAGGAGGAGCATGGATCGCGGTGAGTCGTACCGCAGCGTATCAGTACAGTGAGAAGTGAGAAGAGAGAAAATTGGCGTCACGAGGAAAAGGAAAAGGAAAAGGAAAAGAAAGAGGGTGTGAATGAAAGGGAAGGAAAAGGGGTGAATCCATCGGGAGGGATGGGGGCCTCGCTGTCCAACCTTGGAAGCAACGGTTCCGCCGTCGCTCCGGGCCTCGGCGATATCCCGGAGGGTTGCGTCGCTCGCGTCTTCCTCCACCTCACTCCGCCGGAGATATGTAACCTCGCGCGCCTCAACCGCTCCTTCCGCGGCGCCGCCTCCGCCGACTCCGTCTGGGAAGCCAAGCTGCCTCCCAACTACCACGATCTCCTCCTTCTCATGCCTCCCGAGAGGCACCAACATCTCTCCAAGAAGAACATCTTCGCTCTCCTCTCTCGCCCTGTGCCGTTTGATCACGGCTACAAGGTACGCTACGCTACGCCCTCTCTCTCTCTCTCTCTCTCTCTCTCAGTTCATGAATCCATATCGATGTACCTTTTGCAGGAAGTGTGGCTCGATAGGGTTACCGGTAGGGTTTGCATCTCCATTTCGGCCAAGGCCATGTCTATTACGGGAATTGATGACCGCCGATACTGGACTTGGCTTCCTACTGAAGAATCTAGGTTAGCCTTTCACAACCTCTATTTTACTTTCTATCTTGTGTTGTCACTGCATCTTTCTTTTCGTTCAGAACTTAGGGTTTGCTAATTTTAGAGGTTCCTGTTTTAGAAACCCAATCTATGCTACATGCTTCCGTATTCTTAAGGATGGCGAATGTTTTAGTTTGTGCTTCGTTGCTGGTCTAGGTTATCACAGAAAGGAAAGGATTGACCATAATGTAATGCGGGGAGTTTTGGCGAGTGGGAAGAAAGGTGCTAAGTGCTGCACATGTTCACAGAATGCTCTTAGATTCATTTTTTTTTTTGCTTCCAATTGTGTGTTTGTTTGGTTGCTGTAATGTTTTTACATGCCACTTTATCAAGTGTATAATGCAGGTGGCCTTGTAGAGAGTGCCGAACGTTACTTGAAAGTTAAGATGTGTTTTGGTATCACGAAAAACAATGATAAGATCATTATTTTGGTTTTCCAAGATTACTTAATGGATGTGCCGATGTGGTAATTGGGTGCTAGAAGGTGTTCAACAGGTTTACCATTTTAAGTGATCCTTAGATCAACTATGTATGCTTTTGCAACATGTGGAGAAAGGGAAATAATAAGGAACAGAAACTTTCCTTCCTTTGAGGAAAAGAAGGAAAGTCGGTGTTTTGTATTCAGTTTTTATGGAAGTCTTCAGCAGCTTACATATTCATAGATCCTGATGTTTTCCTTTTCAAGTCATATTAATTGGCTTTAAAAGTAAAGTTTCTTGCAATTGCTGGGACTTTACTTCCTAAACCATGCTCTGGGAAACACCCCCTTTGATTAATTTAAAGGATATGCGCTTTTCAGTGTCCTTTTAAAATGATTGTGGAAGGATAAATCTATCAAACTTTCTAAGTATTCCCAGATATGGCTTTTCTTCCAATCAAGTGAAAATCTTCTTTTCTTATCTTATTAGTATATTGACTAGGAACTGTAGATGATCATCAAGGAGGCTAACATACCAAGGTTATTGCAATTCATGTAAAATAAAACAATCAATTTATAGTATATTGACTAAGTTGCTGTCTGAAAATGTCCATGTTGCTTGTGTTGGCTTACTAAATTTTCATTTTAGTTCACATATGAAAGTTACTTCTTTTATATGGTCTAGACACTAGAGCTTGAATATCAATTGCTTGTACTCTCTCTCTCACACACATATATATTGACAAAACCTTGTCTTAAATGAATTTCACAAGCCTCTTATATGTTGGAGTGATGTTGTTATACATCTTGTTCTGCTGGAGCTTGCATGGATGAAATCTTGAAAAGCTTTTGTCTAGATTCAGTACTCAATGCGATTTAAATTTTGACTTCCAAACTGCCTATTTGTTAAATATGCCAGAATTATCAATCTAAGATTCAACTATATCCAAATTCTGTTAATCTAACATCAAGTGTTTAATTTGTGCACATGATTTACGAAACAGTTATCTGATTGGCTTGTCTAGTATGCTTTGATTGCTTTATGCTTGTCTTTTTGAGAAAGTGGAACTGTAAACATTTTGCTTTCATTGTCTGTGTCCTGCCTGACCATTCTTCTAGTTTTTGAATGATGATTTTGTTTTCATTTATGAGCTTGTTTATTTTGTATTGATTGGCTTAACTTTCTTGATGCCCTGTGGCCTTTGCTGTCCAATACCACTTTTAAAAGTTGCAAGCTTTATTTGTAATGGGGATGTTTAATTGTTGGGTGCTGCTTTTTTCAAATTTAAATTTAATTTAAATATGTACACAATTCCAAGAATTTCATGAAACTTCTAATTGGATCAAATACTCAATCCCAGGGGAAAAGCTGGCCCCATCCAAGCCAAATGACCCAATGAATTCAAATGAGTTACTTGGTTTGTTCTTTTATTTGGCCCAAATGTTATGTATAGCTCACTATGGTATTAAGTATGGACTATTTGGCTGCCCTTTTATTATATTGTCCTGTACAGGCAGACTGCAAATGCATCCTAAGCTAAATTCTAACATTCTTCCACCCAGAAAAGCAAATTATCTTGGTCCAATATATATATATATATATATATATATATAAGGCAGGGCTTTATTCGAAACCATTTTGATATTTGGACATTAAACTTCTCTACTTACATGTACATGCATTAATGTGAATGAAGGATATGAATTTGCTATTTTAATTATTGGGTAAATTATGCTTCTCAGGAGATGCTTAAATTACACTATTTTCACCTCTAATTTAAAAATTACATCCAATCCCTTAAAAGAGGAAATTTATTACACTTCAGTCTATTTTAATGTGAACAAACCTTTTAGTGATGGTGAACAACTATGAACAAACCTCCTTTATCTCTTCTCTTCAAATTTTAGTGTCACCAGAGTCAATTTTCAACACCATTATCAATTTTACATGCTAGAGAATGAAATGAAGTTGTAAATACTCTTACTATTGTTTTGAAACTTAACCCAAAAATACCATTTTCTTAGGTGTCAAATTTGATGGTAAAGAATTCAAAACTACTTGTTAATTATGTTGAGTTATATAGAGGCGGAAAAAACTTCTCTTTAAAGGCTTGTTTATATTAAAATAGACTAAATATAACACATTAGTTTCTTAGAGGAGAGGAGTGTGATTCACCCTTAATTATTTGTGCCTTGGAATGATGTTTTGACTTTCAATTATATATGCAATTTGGTTCAGTTTAGATTATCTCATCTGTATCTTTTAGCCCTGCTGATCTATGAACTACTCAGCCTGATTCAGCCAAACTGTCCTATTCTATGAATAAAACATAAACAGGTTGTTTTTGTTGGTTTGCATAATCTAGTATTAATTTTTGAATAGTTTGACAGCTCTAATTCTCAATGTCTTTCCATGCGTATATAGTTAAATTATGCCAACTTTCTGTTTATATGCTATTTCTGCTAATTGTGCCAAAACTGTTTTGTTTAATATTGAGCTCTTTTTTCTGAGGATTGCGTTGCAATGGTGTTTTTTGTTCATTTCAGGTTCAACACTGTAGCATATTTGCAGCAAATATGGTGGTTTGAAGTGGATGGGGAGGTCAACTTCCCATTACCTGCTGATATTTATACTCTCTCCTTTAGGCTTCACCTTGGGCGATTTTCCAAGAGGCTTGGTCGACGTGTGTGCAATTATGAGCACACCCATGGTTGGGATATAAAACCAGTGAGATTTCAGCTGTCAACCATGGATGGTCAGCAAGCATCATTTGAGTGCTGCCTGGATGAAAATGAACCTGATGATGCACATGGCAATCATAAGCGCGGACATTGGGTAGATTACAAGGTGGGTGAGTTTATTGTCAGTGGATCAGAACCTACGACTAAAGTAAGATTCTCCATGAAACAGATTGATTGTACACACTCTAAAGGTGGGCTCTGTGTAGATTCTGTATTTATTATACCTAGTAATTTGAGGGAGCGCACGGGAAGTGTTGGCATTATGAAATAACCAGAGAGTATAGGAATTTTTTATTTTTCAATTTTTTGGTAGTTTGTACACGTTCTCTTTAGTTTTTATGTAATCACCGTTTGTGTGTCATTTCCATGGTTTATACCTTTGTCAGATTAGATTGGATACAGAAACAGGAAAGCAAACTTCCCTAACACTTGCTTTGGCTGGTCGTCTATTCCTTCTGGAAACTTAATTGTGATGCTGTTGTAGATTTTTCTTACCTGATATTATTGTGCCTTCTATCAGGTATTGACACAAATTTTGGAGAGTATGCTTGGAATATTTAGGTATACCTTCTTTATAGGTGCAATATTAAACAAAGCTGGTGGTTGACTATTTAAATGCCCACTTAACCTTCATAACAATTTACAAGCAAATATTATACTCTTTCTTCTCGGCGCTTACTTTGCGTTTTTATTTTTTTAACTCTTGTTGCATAGTAATGATTTCTTGCATGGTTACAAATATTTAAAAATTGGTAGAATAGTAAAAGAAAATTCCTAACTCAGGCATGTTTCTTTCTTTGTTTTTTTTGTTGGTGAAATAAGATAAATAAACGAAAAGAAAAAATTACAACCACAGAAACTACACTCCCCTAGCATAAGTTAAAAGGAGTGGTTCTAAATCTAGTGTTGAGTTCAATTTAAATACGTAGAAGTAGAGTTCAACTCCAATCTAACTAAAGTCAATACATTGATTGTCTTCCCTGATATAATTGAATTTGTCAATTTCCTTGAAGTAGTTCTTGGACATGATAAACAAGAGCACTAAATGGTGCCTATGATTATAGAGGAGTTGCACTAGTAATAAAGCATAAACATGATTTGAGAGACTCAATATGTCTATAATCAAGATGTCAAGTAAGGCGCTAGCCAAATTATATTCCAACTAAATGCATCCTTGTATTATTTGCAATACCTATACCATCATAAAATCTCTTAATCCAAACACCAATTGGATTCTTAATCAATCCATCGAAGCCAGTAGGGTCAGATTGTCTCAAACAACTGTCATTTACATGTAGAGAGACCTGTTCGTCGATTGTAAATTCACAATGCATCCAACCTCTTTTATACGTTGACGTGAAGAACCGTCACTTCAATAGACTCGTAAATTAGCTTTTAGCAACGAGAAAGTCTGTTAAGGTACCGTATTTTGATTTTAAAAAATAAGCAGGTTTCGAATCTTTTATAATAACGAACAAGCAATGAAAGGTGAGACTCCTCTTTTTTGGAAGTAGTCATGTAATCAACTGTTCCAACTAACATGCGGCTAAGGGAGTTCCATATTACTTAAGCCCAATATCCTCTACACCAACGATGTACAACCACATCGAAAAGAGGTGCAAAACATTCTCATTCTCATGGTCACGCCTCAGGCACAAAGATCCCCCACCCACATGTTGCTAATACAGGAAGACTCGGGTGGGCAAGGCATGTTCACATAGTTGCCATAAGAAGAATTGAATATTCTCCCCAAATGGAAATTGCCAAATCCACTTCCAAGATCTTGATTGTGTGCCACCCACATCTGAAGTTAGCCACTAGCATGAAGAAGCAATTGAGTAGATTCCAGAAAGGCTTCCACTCCACACTATGACATCACATGCCTCCGAGAACAGTTAGACATCCAATTGATGAAGCTTATGGGAGTAATAAGTTCACTATCACCCCAAGTGTCAGCCTTCCAAACATTCCGCACCTTAACATGGACATCATGAATTTGCACCAAAAAAAAAAAAAACCTTCACATGCAAGAATAGATTTAATAAACTAAGGATCGAATCAAAAGTTAACCTCCTCATTTCTTAACTGCAAAGCAAAATCCTCCTTCAAGTGAGGATACGTCTGCTATTTATTTTTGAATGTAATTGTTTTGCTATTTATTCTGTTAAAAAATATATTTTCCTTTTGCATACAATCCAATAATTGAGCATTTAATACAGATTTAGAATTTCAAATGATTTGAAAAGTATTAAAAGCTATAAATTCAATAAAATATGATGGCCATTTAGTTCAGAGTGTTTAGTTTGTTATTTTTATTAATATTACCCTGTTATAATGTTCTTACTTAACATGTGTTTTTGTAGGTGTCAGTTTCAATGATAGGCTTTTTGACAAAAATATATATATAAAAAAACAAAAGTGCAATAAATACATAATAAAGTTTAGAATATTGTCATCCTTATGGTAATTCAAAACTCAGCTGACTTGTGCATAAACCTTAAATTTAAAATTATGTGAGTTAGAAAGTTTTTACTGTAGTCGTTGGTAGAACTATTGGAAAAACTGCAGCTAGGCCTATTCAGGGATTTCAACTCTAATCGGGCCGATCTCTCACCAAAATCCTAAAAATAGAAGATATTGATAAGAGCATTTTCTACAAGGTTCATGATATATACACCTCCTTTTTTTTTATAAGTACACCTCCTTTTAAAAAAAATAATTAAAATTTTAAAATATTCTTAATTTTGTTTTAAACTTTTAATTTTACATTTACAACATTTAATTTAGTACTTTTTTTTCACACATTTTTTTCTTTTTTTCAATTTTTACATGCATCCCTTTATTTTTCTTTCACCCTATCTATTTTGGTAATATGTGAAAATTGAAAGAGAAAAAAAAAAAGTGTGTGAATAAGAAGAAGAAAGTAACAAATTTAAAGTTGAAAGTATAAAATTAAAATTTTTAAAAAAATATATATAATATTTTATAATTTTTTTTAAAAGGAGGTGTACTTATAAAAAAAAAAGGAGGTGTATGTATTATGAGCCTAAGAGTTGGAATGTGACAAATCTTATAGACAAGCCCAATTAACTAGAAAAAAATTAATGGGCTAAAAACAAAAACCATGTATAAATTTATTTTGACCCAATATCTATTGCCTGTAATCTCAATAAAAAATATATATTGATTTTTTTATTATTAAAAATGGTTACTAAAATGCCATTTTTTAAAAAAATCTTAAGCAACAATTAATATTTCGAAACGAATTAATTTAAGTATTTGAATGCAAATTAATTAAATAAATTATTTACGGTTAACATTTTTAAATTCCAGTCTATTATATTATATGAAAGGAAAGTTCATTATATAGACTACATCACGTGAATAACACTAATCATTTTAGTCCTCCCATAAATAATTTTATTTTAATTATTTCATTAGAAACCATATTTTTAGCATTATTACAAATTAATAAAAATAAATATTATTTTGACTTAAATCTCAAATTTGTATTATTGAATAATGAGTAATGAATATTAAATTGAAATATGTTGTAAAAGGAAAATATGATTTTTTTTAATATGAAATATTTATTAATTTTCTTGATTAGTCAGTGAATTACAAGGAAAACATGATTTAACGAAGGAAAAGAGATGAAATAATTTCGGTCTCCTTCGGAGAAATGGAGACAGATTTTAATGGTCAAATAAAATTTTTAGAGGGTTCAGTACCCCTATGTCTCTGAATTGTCTAATCATTATAAGAGACAAATAATATAAATAGAAATGGATCTTATGTACGTTAAAAAAAATTATTATTTCGATTAAAATTTGATCGATCTTTTTAAGTAAAGAGTTCAAATTTTATAGATAAAAAATATAATTAAGATAGATTTTTTTGTTAAAAATAATTAATTAAATTCTTAATAAAGATTAATCATCAATAAAATTAATAAATATTTTTATAAATAACATAACTATCCACAAAAATAATTCGTCAACAAGTTTGTTCAGTATTATTAATTTTTATATTTACAAAGTTTAATACATTAGAGACAGAAATAAATCTGTGCCTATGTCTTTTATAATTGCAATAACAAAATCTTATTATCGTATGATTTTTAACCATTAAAGGTAAGTTAAAATCTCTTATGATTGATTTGTAATATATTTTTCTTAAAATATATTATGACTCAATATTATTTATAATATAATAAAATATGATTGATTGCAAAAATATATGCATGTTTTATAGTATAAAGAGAAAATAATAAATTAATAAGAGATTAAAAATGCTATTAATAGTTAAGAATCTATTTTTACGTTACATAAAATTTGTGTATAAATTAATTTAAATTTAAAATTTTAATTAATCCTCAAAAATATTTTAAAATTCTAATTAGATATAGTGATATATCCTTTAACTTTTTTTTTAAAATAAAATAAAATAAAAATTATATTATTTAAATTATATTTTTTTAACTTAATTTATATAAATCTACTTTTTTATGAATTCATTTTTAAATAAATAATTTGAAATTTAATTCAATTTTACAAGATGATAATTATTTCTCATTTATATATACTATTATAATTTTTTTCTTCAATTAATGTAGATCATTGGAGTATAATATTAGCACTTAAAATCGATGTTTGGAAAAAAATGTTATCGTAGTAATATAATATATATATTTTTTTTTATCTTCATCGATATACATAGTAATGTGGGCATGATATCCTAATAAAGCCACATAAGGGGGGCTTTGGAGTGATGTGATCTAAGGGGATCACATGTTCAAACTAGTTAATCGACAAGCCAATTTCCAATTTCATCACACGAGACTAAAACTTGCCATTTCCACTTAAAATTTACATCGCGTCACTGTGTTCATGTATATGCATCGTTAGCTTATATTTCTAGGTATATATTATTCCACTTTATTAATATAATTTAGTGCTCATTTAATTTAATGTCTGAAATTGAGTGTGGAATTAGAATTGGATCTAATCAATCTCATTTATGTGGTTAAAAGTCTTTTAAGAATTAAAATTATAATTTAAGACAATTTTATGAAATTAAAAAAAAAAAAACTAGTTTGACCTACTAATTGGCAATTCTTAACTAAAACCCTAATTATTTAAGAGTTGAATAGGTGGATTGTTGGGTCAATAAAAGATCAACCCTCCAAGCTAATCTAACCCCATTTCCCCTTTTTAAGGTTTTTTCTGTTTCTTAATTATTTTAGTTTTTTAATATTTATTTTTATTTTATTTTTATATAAATGAATGTTTCAAAAGGCATAAGTTTTATGTTTTCGATGAACTTTTTAAATAAGAGGCTTCACCTTAAATAAACTTGCTGTTTTTCCTAAAATTAAGGAATGAATCTAGACTACTTAACATGGGCTTTTTTATGGCCTAATTTGATCTTCAAAAATTTTCTTTGACTCAAAAAAGTTTACCATAATATGTTTTAAAGGCAGCAAAATATTCCACATTTATAGATATAAATTATTTACCAACTTATTAAATTTTTTTAAAATATAATTAATTATCTTTAGTTGAATTTTCTGTCTAATCATATTTTCTTTCATTTGTAAAAACTGTACTCAAAACT